ACATTTTTTTTTATTTTTTTTTTTCTCTTTTAAAACTCTCCAGGTCTGTTCATGTAACTTGAATTTCAATCAGAGGAATGAAAATGAAACAATTCACCTGGTGCTGTTAAGTGACTAATAAAATAGTTCTGTCAGTTAACAGAACCTGATGCCAAGAACAGCTGGGAATTTGTTCCTTTATATAATATGGCATAAGAACTAGCATTACATGAAAGTGCTTTGGTTTTAGACACAACCTAAACATTTGGGTTTTTTGTGCCATGAGCCATCTACTTCAAATATACACATTACGCTATATCAAGTACAACAATTTCAGCATCTACTTAAAAATGAGGAGAACATTTCTAATGCTCTATACCTGGAGCTCCCGAATATCAAACTGTTCTTCAAAGATGTAGGCAGCATCTGCCCCTGCTGCAAGGGCCCCCATGTTAGCCAGATAACCACAGTAACCACCCATGGTCTCAATGATGAACACACGCCGCTTGGTCCCACTGGCTGATTGTTTGATGCGATCACACGTCTAATCGAAGGCAAGATGTTGCAAGTTTAGAGAAAAAAGGAGGCTGAATGTCTATGTTCTTACATGTCATGAAATTTTGTGTCACTTATTGGTAAGAGAGTTTAAAGAATGAATAAAAAATAGGTCCTTAAAAATTCCAACATAGCATAATCCACTTAATTATAATGATTACCAAATAAAGTGATTCTTATAAATCATACATTGAACACTAAAGTAAAAATAAAACCTTTTGCTACTATCAACTCTTGTTTGCTTCCTGCAAATACTAAAACAAGAATTAATTGTGGTTTGTGCAAGGAAATAAAAGCTGTGATAAGTTTTCTAGCAGAGATACAAATAGATATAAAGGAGCTTTTTAATTAACTCTGGCATGAGTAAGTTTCTCTTCTTTGCTTTAACTCTCTTAATTACTGAAGTTTATTTCTTCTTTGAATTAATTTTAAAATTCACTGCATTTCCAACCCTACTTGAAGTTCAGGTTCCTGAACTTAAGTCCTGAGCATGTTTTGCCCTATTTTTAATTTTCCAATAATGATATCTACATAAATATAATTCTTTCAAGCACTACAGGAGCTTTTAAAAAAAAAATTATTAATAGGTACATACTTACTATAGAGACTGTAATCTCCACGTGCATCTTACTCTGAGCACCATAAGAATTGTTCTCTACAAAGAGATCTGTTGCTCACATGCCACCAATTAAAATAAAAGTTTATTAGAGCTGCCCAAGAGACTTAAAAAATAACAGAAAATCTTCAGTGTGGTAGGGCCTAGGAAACTTAGGAAGAAACCTAGGAACAAGGTTACTATGCATATCCAGGTTTTAATAATATCCAAAAAACTATTTGGCAAACTCTCATTTCCTAGAATGAGTTTTTCTACCCTTCAAATGTATTTTAAAATATAAAATAATGTATCATTATTTTAGAAAGTAAGAAGAAGATACACTTTCTTTTTATGTCTTAAAAAGAAATAAATAATTTTGCAAAACTGACATACTGTCCCTACACCAGTTCTGTTGAGTAAAAATGTAAAATAAAAGTACCTGGAAAGTTTGTCATCTTGAAACTTGAATTATGATAACATATTTGGTTTTTTTACTGAGAGTATTACTGAAAGCTGTACAAATTAGTAATACATTAAATAAAAGGAAGCAGAAATAATACAATTATTTTCTCCCACTTTGTTTTCAGGTTTTCACTTTTACAGGTGGATCACTGTTAAAATTGCTTAGTCATAATTAGCAGACAGCCTGACTTTTATAAAAGCAGCTAATGGAGTGGTAGAAGTGTCCTGCCTATGATGCATTTTCAGCCCATATAAATAACTGACTCTGTATCAGAGTGGGACAACAAACCTGCATTTCTGAAACCCATGGATTTCTGACTTTCTTGGCCAATTACTTCATAGTTAGTTATATGGATTGATAATGTGGGGTTTGACAAAACCCAGAGCTCTTCAGTGGTTTGCTCATTTGCATGCATTAGACCTCAATTCCCTGCCGTGGCTCCAGCAGACTCAATAGGATAGTAAAGAACTTAAAGAGTTCATACACAGCAGCTGTACTCAAGGGAAAAAGCTATGGGAAACTAATTGCTCTGACTGAAATGGAAAACTCACTGGCCCCAAACTGTTTCTTTAGGATCAGTGACAGACTTAGCTGCTTGTAGTATGCATGTATTTATATGCACCTAATGTATGTTAAGCCTAATGCAGCCTATGGGATTATTAATCTGTTTAGTGTTAACCATGTACTTGACATGCCCTACTGCACGGAGCTTAGTCATTAGTCCATACAGTAAGTGCGTCATTTATTTATAAAACATGCGCTTTCTTCTTACACCTGAGTAATGCTCAGGAGCTACGCAAGACAAAAAGCTAAATCAAAGGCAAATTTTATTCTCAGTAAAAGCAGATGCCCTAAGCACTAATGCAGCAGTCTTGGATGACAAAACAGAGTCCCCAAAAGTTAAACATAAAATATAATGAATTTTTATTGGGCTAATCTTTAATCAATCTTGAAAAACTTCTTAATTATAAACCATTATAAAAATGCAGTAACTGAATTATTTCAGAAAACTAGACATTTCAAGGTCTTCCAGTATCCTTATCTTACATATTTTACCATCTTAACTTTTAAAAGATATACAGTCTTACCTCCACAATAGCATTCAAGGCAGTGTCAGCACCAATGCTAAAGTCTGTGCCTGGCACATTGTTGCTAATAGTAGCAGGCAACACACAGATAGGTACGCAAAACTCCTCATAGCAGGAACGTGCCTCGTGTAGCTGCAGACAACTCTCATAGGCCTGAAGCAGTGGTACAAGTATGAGTGATACATTCCTGGTCTTTGTATAGCTCTGTTAATGACTCCTTGCATGTGATGGTAAATTTGGCTGTCCATTGGCCCAAGTAAATACAATTGGTGAGATTATTTGGGAGTGGATATCCTGTACATACCACAACAGTGCACTGGGGTTGCATTGGCACAATGCTCTTGGAAGAAATGCAGAATATTAGTGCAAGTTAATACAGAGCGAATGTGAAGTATGCACAGTAGAGAGGTCTGAAGCAGTTGGGCAGAAAGACAGCATAAAGGTAGACCAGAAATCATTCCACAAGAAACCACTTAAAAGAACCAAGTTTCTACATGTGAAGGAGTTAGGAAGTTAACTAATAGAACACCTACAACTTGAAGGAAGTGCTTAAAGAAAACTGCTTTTTAAGAAACTATGTTATCTCACATAGTCAAGACAAATCTATTTCCACCAAGTAAAGAAGTTTTGCCTACATCTCCCAAGATTCTATCAACATCACACATCTGCTTCTATGCACATAGACTGGACATAGGTCCAGAAAAAAACAGATGTGCACATAAGTGCATTCATAAAGTTTGCAAGTATAGTTCAAAGATTCTTTGCAAAGCATCTGTAGGTCCTTGGTAAGATTCCAAACACTACAAAATAAATAATCATGTGAAAAGGATTAGATGTTCCTAATAGATGTCAAAATAATACTTAAAGGTTAAGATGGTGCAGCTGGTTGAAGTCAGTAAACATTTTTATTATTTTTTTGAGTTATATTATTCCAGTTTTTTTTCTAATCTAAACTAATCAGCATCTCTGATGTGTGGCAGTTTTCAAGCTGCCTATGTAACATCTTTGCACAGGATCACAGGAAAGCCTGATTACATAGTGTATTATGCTTTTCTTAATCTTTTTCTCCCAGAAAGGACTGATGTTCACAGAAGTCTCATCTTCTCAATTTCTTGAATCAGTTCAGAGAAGCAAATAGCAGATCAATTTACTAGACAGCTATCAAGCTATCTCCAGAAATATCTATACAGTGACTGATTTAAATCTAACTTAGGAAAAATTGCGGGGGGGGGGGAAACCCTTGTGAAGGTTCTGCTCTCTGGATTTTTTTTTGTAGATAAAGCAGATCCAGGACATACAGCAGTAGGTGCATGAAGTGCAAACTGACTTTCTAAATCCTATCTCATGTGCAACTTCCAATTAAGTTCAGTACTACGATCAATTTCCAGTTTAAATCTGAAACACAGTTTAACAGACTGCACTTTCAGACCTGTAGTTCTGAGACGCAGTATAGCCAGAGGAGCAACAAACAGATTTTACATTTTTTAGAGTGGATGGGGCTTCACTGAAAAAATGTCAGTAACTGCCAAACCCAACTCAGCTCACTCAGGATGCTTTCAAGATTAATTTGTACTGAAAACCAAAGACACACACAGAGTTGCAGTGTTTTGGTAAAAACACTTCTGGAGAATGCTCCTGGAGATCCACAAAACATTAGTTTCTCAAAAAAGTTTTATATTGAGACTTTTGGGAAACCAAGTTGAAGGGAGATTTAGAGCAATAACTAACACGATTGGTTAGTCTGCATTTATGATATGTTAGGATGCAGTTAAGATATGTTTTACTTGCATTAAATATTGACATTTTATTTGATGCAAGTGATTTCAGCAAACATATCCAAAGACTGTACCTTCACCAAGCATGAGCATTAGATCATTATATGCAACATCTTCACATCAATTCAGAAAAAAATGATTTTTTTTTCAATAGTAATTTAATAACTATAAAGGGCAAACAAGAGATCGGTAGTTTTAGTAATTGTTTTGCAATGTGTTTGTTTTTTTAATATGTACTACAGTAAGATCATAGAGACATACTGTACCATGTCAATAAATTGATTTCACCCTTTCACACCCTTTTATTATATTTATGTAATTAAAAAGGGTATTGCCATAACTAAGGATGATTTATAAAAATACAGGCAGTCAAACAAAGACTGTGGTTTGTTGACTTCATGTTGATAAAAATGTAAAGCCATGAAAGGGATGGACTTACTCCTAGATCCACATTCAGCTGTTGCTAGAACTGACCTGGATGATAAATTAGTTAGCTAGCTCGGCCAGGATAATTTTCAACTTCCTAGTTCAGACTAATGTGGAGCCACATACACTAGAACCAGGACAGAGAGTGTACCAAAGTCTGTTTTTCAAGGAAACTGCATGGAGACTGCATCAGGGCAATCTAACTCTAGCTTTATTTGCTCCTCAGTGAGAAAGGGTCTTCTTGTGGCTGTATGCAATTCTTTTCTCACAAAACCTACTGATCAACTCATACCTCCTTCCATGTGATGAAAGGAAAAGGCAGATTCTCAAAGAAAAACATGAGAGTTTCAGCATCTTTCTTTGTCTGGTTCTATTTTTCTCCATCTCTAGTTGATACTTTTTCTTCAGATTTTCCCATTTATTTTTACATCTCCTAAATCAAATTAATATTCTTCCATACCTTATTCTGGTTTATTCCTCTTTCCATCTGTCTCCTCTTGTAGGTTTTGTTTTCAAATTAAATTTTCATCCTTTCAGATCTCTTTCCATGTTCTGCAGTTGATTGAGTTTCTTTATTTAATCCATTTAATTACACAGTAGTTCTCTGCTTATAATTCCACCTGCAAAATGTATTGCTAATGCCTCTTTTCGATCAGTATTAAGCAATCTAATTTTCATTTAAAAAGAAATTTCTATCCTTCCTGGTTATGTAGGGGAAAAAAACACTTCATTTTTTACATTCCAGAGCTCTTCTGTATGAAATAAGTCTATTCATTTCACTGGACTAGCAACCTGAAGTTGAGAATATAGGTATTTATATTATGGTAGTTACTTTACTGATGCTTCTCTTCACAGAGAAGTGAAGGTTCATCTTCTTAGCCTGCAGTTCTAAACAATTTATTTTGCCTATCTGGATATACAAGCCTTAAGCACAACCTTTTCAGGTACAGAACCCTCCAGCTTTCACCAGTTATTTCATATTGTGGAGTTTTCATTGACAATTATTCTCACTAAAAACTGAAGAATAGAGCAGAAGATAAATTTTAAACAATCTTCAAAACCAAACAAAATCCTACTATTCAAGTGATTAGAAGCCTGTACTTTAAAACAAGAAAGGAAAAAAAAAAAAAAAAAAAAAAAGAGCATTTCAAGATGGTCTCAGAATCTGTTACAGAACCTAAATTCTAATTATTGAGAAATGTACAATCCACTATTCACAACTTAGGGAAAACCACACTCTTGTCTAATCTCTTATTCAGATGTTATGTATCTGTTGGCCTGGTTTTTAGTATTTCTCTTTTTAAATACAGCACCTCAGTACATTTTATCTGCACATGTCTCAAGGTAAAATTTACATGCCTTGACAAGTTTCAAACAATCAAACAATGACAAGTGTCTAGTAATGCCAGACATTAAAAAGGCCTCATTAATCAACAGAAATGTACTTACCTTACTAAAACTTTTCAAGAACTCAGAAATAAGAACAGTACCACAGAAAAACTAAGTGTCATGATATTGTGGTGTTTGTAAAATGTACTAATCTGAAAGCATTGAAAACTATGGTGCATTTATTCACCTAACAGTAGCAACAGGAATAAAAATGCTATAAACTAGATAAAATGGACATTCATGTCTGTCTGCTACTTTGCTTTACCACAGTCAGTTGTGTGACTTGTATGCAGTCTCAGTCACATTTAATAGGGGGAATAATCACTACTGAACCTGATCTGAACATACAACACAGGAATGAAAGGATATATTTTTCATTATCGGTTTTAGTGAATTATGTTCAAACAATCACAGCAGAAAACTGAAAAGATACCAAACAGAAATGTTTCTCCAACACAAAAGTCTGCTCCTTCCCCCCTAAAAAGAACCAAACTTAATTTTCCATTGGACTTAACCTAAATCTTAGAAAGCCATTATATTTCATATTTATTTCAGAGAAAAATCTAGGCAAAATAAAACACAAAACCAAGAAAAAAGCTATTAGTAAAAAAAACAGTTTGAAAAGTTTTCAACTAGTGCATTGAACATATGGAGATACTGACATTTTATTATCTAGTGAAGGTGGATGATATCTATAAACCTAATATAATGCAAAATATAACGAGAGACTATGATGTATCCAACTCTACATGAAATAAACTTTAAAAAGAAGCAAGTTAAGTAAACAAAGCTTAAGAAGAAAAGAAAGGAAGAAAAGTAGGTGCTATGCACAATCATTTTACTCACCTTAATTTGTGACAAATAATTTTGGAGAGATATTTTTATTTACCAGAACTGGAAACATCAACATTTATAACCTAAGTAGTCTATAAAAATTCAGTATAAATTTTAGTTAGTTTATGGTCTTGTTCAAAGCAATAGTTAAGAAAACTGAAATTTCCTAACTGAAGTGCTTATTTTGCTAAAGATAAAAGTATTTATGTTGGTGCGGTAAAAATAAAACAGGTGGAAAATTATGTTAGTGCTCTTGAAGCTGACAGCATGTGAGGAATCCCTCAAATTTCTGAAAATAATATAATGATTAAAATTTTCAAATATGTCAAAATTAGAGTAGAACTGACATTTTGTTTTCAGAGGCATTAAAATTCTTTTTCCCATTTTATATGAGCACCTTGCTCATTATTTTCCGCTTGTAAAAATCTAGCTCAATATGTACAATCAGTGAAAAAATTCTACATTCTGCTCCAACTTGGCTGGAGACAAAAATCAGAAAGTGGCACTTGTAATATAATATGGTAATTTATTGTAATTCAGTAAGCAAGTTGTGAAATAATTCTGTTTCTTCTTTATAACAAAAAAAATCAATTTTGAATACAAATGCTTTATTAGGTCTTTACTGTGTTTTCAACTATGAACAGTCTGCAACTGTATCTGTAATACATGTGTCTGCAGATAGTGATGAAAAGAAAAAAATGAAAGAAGTGTAATGCTACTGTTACTATTTCACACACATAATTATGTCTGAATATACAGAAACAGAATTGCTCCTCTTAGTAGAGGTATGACAGATTAATGCTGCTTAAGTGATTCTGATGAACTGTAAATGTGCATGCCTGAGAACCTCATTTCTGTAGTGTTTGACAATGCTCTTTCTATACAACTAAGTTTAGTATAAATCAATAATTTGTGTGTTGTTTTTTTTTTACATTGTATAACTGGATTTGATTTTTTAAAAAGACTTCATAATATGTCTCAACTCTTTTTTTTTTAATCTCTATTGGTAGAATGCATGTAATTCCTGTATATTAGAGATATATGAATCTTACATTCTCTATTAGAGAAAGTTACATACATAAATAAGGATCTCCTTCTGAACAGAACAACGTTCACTCTGCATTCTTTACAGCTGCATGTACTAATACTTCACATATAATAGGGATTTTTCCCTCTACGGTGCATCAAATGATCAAATCTTAGCTTTAGGTTTCCTTCTTCCATGTATAATAGATGTATGTAATTTTCTTTTGTAGCTTACATATGTACAGGTCATGGCAGTTTCAGAGGAAACCTAATGGAAGCATTTGGGATCCTAAACTGCCATTTTTAAATAGGTATTATGAATGTGGGTATATCAAGTCACTGTATCATTTTCCAGATTACATTTCCAAGGTCTGGTCTATAAAAATATCCAGGTCTAGCCAATTTAGTCAGTTTCAACCAGAACTGCTTTGTTAGTAAGCGCACACACCTGAATAGACTTACATCAGTTATAGTGTTCAGAGCAGTATCTGCACCAATGCTGAAATCTGAACCCGGTACATTGTTGGATACAGTTGCAGGAACCATAACCATGGGAACACAGAATTCGTCATATTTCTCTCGGGCAGCTGACAATTCCAGAAGTCCGAGGTACGCCTGTTGGGCACAGGCATTGGGTGAAAAATTAGGATGGAAAAAATAACGGTAAAGTTGGACTGATAAATGGAAAGGGCCACAGGGGGAGCCATTTCTACCACAGCACACTTCAGCAAGTCAAAGTACTAAGGACCCACTAAAATCTAACAGACAAAAAAGAAAGAATTAAAAACATTTATACATTTGAAAACAAACAACAAACAGAACATCAGTGTTCCAGGGAAAATATAATTTTGACATATTAGTGCTTTCTACAACACAAACATACTGTAAACTAGGTCCCCAATCTTCAGGTACTGTTGCTCCTGATTTAAAATCTTAATATTCCTAAACTAGGGACACGCCTAGCAAGTTGGAAAAAATTGATTATTCCTTCCTTATCAGGAAGCAATAAGCATATTCTTCTCTGGAAAGAGTGGGCAAAATACTTTCCTGACTCAAGGTCTCAAAAACTGATTATTTTGGTAAAATGAAATTAACATGAAACAAATAAAAAAACCACAAAATACTTCTCTAGGTCTATTGCTGATTTTGAAATGCACTACGTGAGAAAGAGTGGCTTAAATATAGGACCATAGGATAATTACTATTAAAGGTCAAGAACTTCTAAAAGCATGTTCTAAGTATTGATACACTGTAGACTGGAACTTGCACTACTGATATATATAATTATTGGTTTTTTAAATACAAAACCACTATCATGCTATCTCACCTGGTTTATCCATTCAGCACATGCTGTTTTGCAGTTACTAGTCCCTGTCTTGAATGCCAACTTTCCTCAGAATCAGTGATTGACAGGATTTTGATCCTAAACACTATATGTAAGTTAAACACTACATAGTTATAACGAAGAACAGTTTCCACGAAGATTGGGTAAAAATTTAAATGGTTTGTTCCTTTTGTTAGGGATTCTATTGTACTTAAGACATAATTAAGACATTTCAGTGTACCTCAAATCCACCAATAACCATAAGGGCGTTAATGTTGTTAGTGCGCATCTGGTCAGCAATCTTCTCCAAATATTTTGCAGGAAGCGTACTAAAAATTATTAGATCAAAATAAAAATAAAAACCATGTACAGACTTTGCAGCAATAAGAACTAATTACTAGGCTGAAGCAGTAAAACAAGCAGGCAATACAGTATTTTTTGGTTTACAAATTTATCCATACAAATAATTCTTCCTGACAACCAGTAAGGAATCATTTCAGCTGTAAAGAAATTCAAATTTGTAATCCTTGTCAGTGTAAGGACTCCAGGAAATTTTTAAGTTGAGGTCCCTACTCCTATTTTCATTCTCTCTTCAGAGCTGGTACAGTACTATAAAGATACTCAAGTTGGAACATAACAATTAGCGAATAAACCAAAACAAAACTGAGGACTTAAAACATCTTGTGGAAGGAAAAGAGCATGGAATCACCACTGGTTACATAAAATACTAGAATTCATCATATCAATAGGCAAAATATTGACATTACCGTTTTGTACCAAGAATTGATCCTCCTTGACCAGTCCAGCCTCCAACATCTCCCCAGCTGATTTCCTTTATCTTTAAATAAAAGTAATTATCCAATTACTTCTCTTGAAGTAAACAGTGCAGTAAACATCAGGTACTACTTCAGGTAAAGCTTTTGGGACAAGTTGTTGGGCAAAGAAAGCACCAAAAATTAACTTGGCAAAGAAAGAAAAGAGCATCAAGAAGTTAACTATTTCTCTTCAATTTCTACCAACTCCTTTCCATTTAATTTGTTGTGTTTTTTTTTTTCCAGACCATGATGAAACCTGTCTCCTTGATTCCTATCATGATCCTATTTTCACACCATCTCCTACCAAATGTGAAACACAAAAATGCAAAACTAATTCTTTGAAGTTAGTTTTGGAACCTATGCCTCCAGCTAGGCATAGAAATCCTAAGTCTTACATCCAGTTTCTCCTCAGTATATCAGCTGATACTTAACATTTAAAACTGGGAAACAGAAGAATCCAACTCACATGGGGGGGTGAAGGTTCCTGACTCAAAAAGCCCTACTGCAACGTTTCTTATAGGAAAGAAAAACAGACAGAACAATTCATCACACAGAATCAGTGATTCTTCTGCTATTTTGTGGATAACCTCCCATATGCTAAATGTTGATCAAAATAGGAAGGTAGGATTCATTTGAATTAATTTTGCAGCTCTACAGCATGTGATTATCAATACTGAAGATAAATGAATCTATAGACTTTATTAGCTGAGAAATACAGTCAAAATTTGGGGTTTATTTATCTTTCTGAAATAAAAGAACTTACAGAATCAGTTCCCACAACAGTTACAACAGAACATACCTTCTAAGAACATACAGGTTGTGATATGGGATGGGATACATATTATTATGTAATCCACACATAATACTGACCTTCCCTCTAGAAAAACCTTCAAATCCATCAATGACAGCAAACATTTTATGGCCTTCAGTTATGCCAACTCTCACTGCAGCCCTCACTGCAGCATTCATTCCAGCTGCAGGGGCACCAACATTTAAAACTGCCACATTAAAATTACTCTGCAAGAGAAAAAAAGTAATGTTTAGTAAGTAATTTAATTTCTACATGTTCATTTGTCCATCATACCAGTTGCTAAATATTGGAATGTAGGGTAAGAAATTTCAAAGCCCCTAAAACTATCCAAAATGTAAAGCTGACTAGAAGATACATACGCATATTCCCACATTTGGAGAATATCACAAAGAAACAAACAGCTTAAAAAAGAGAATGTTTTTAAATTAGACTTCATCACATTTTCATGTGGTTTTCAGGTTAAGTTATTCAGTTTTTTATATTCTAGCTCAGCTAGGTTCAAGAAACAAAATACCCTGAATTATTCAACCAGTTTCATGTAATCAAAGCAGTAGGTTTTTTTAAAGAACACCTGGAGTATCCAAGGAGAGAGTAGGAACTGATTCTATCACCATAGCAGTTTAGTGTATATCATCAGTACCATGCAAAGCAGAACACAAAACAACTTTTAAATTAAAGTAACAGCCAGGTTTTTAGAGCAGTTGACAATATAGCAGTAAACAGGAGAACTCAGCATATCTCACAATACAATATATTTTCAGATTATGGTAGTTTTTAAAGCATTTCCTAACAGCAAAATGACAGAATTGTAATAAATTGGTCCTGTGGAAGGGATAGAAGTTACTAGCTTCATCTTGGATGATGAGAATACAAAACAAAACCAAAGAGAACCATTGTTAGGTAATGATCATGGAATCACTTCCAATTAAAAAAAAAAAAAAAAAAAAGGACCCAAAACAAATTGTATTTGTTTTCTTTTCTAGCTTTGGCACAATCAAAGGATTATAGAAAAATGCAAAGGAAACTCAGGCAGCAAAGTATCAGTGTGCAGCAACACTGCTGAAGCAGATGATTCCGTAGGCTCTAGTGATCTGATCAGCTTAGTCTTTTCCTCAGTTCCCGTGACACACACATTTCATTTGCTTTTTAATTCCCATCCAACCCCTTTTACTGAAGCACAGGGATTTCTCTAGTGCGGTCAAATCCGAGCAGTTAATAACTACAAGTGGTCTACATTTGATTCCAATGACAAAGTTAGCCCAGTGTTGACAGTTCTATATTTGCGTTGGTGTAGGAAAAAAAAAACAACAACACACACACACCTGATCTAGCAAAGCAAATGCTGAATTATCCATTAAAAAAAAATAATAATCTTGAATTCTTTGATCTCTTAAAGGTCAAACAACCTTTTTTTTTTTTTTTTTTTTTTTTTTAAATGACCATTTTGGCAGGTATATGTGAAATAACTGTGGTCTACATACTTTCTTTTATTTATATTTAGGTAAAACACAAATAAGGTTTATGTTTAGGTAAAACTAGTTATTTTAACATAATCTCCTTGAAAGCTTCTGCTATGACTTTTAATCTGTAACCAAGTTTCCTTTACTGTGTGAAGTTTTCGATTACATATTACAAGGCAATTTTTGTCAACTAAAATGGCTAGTTGTGATTGTGTTACTTGCTATCCACAGAACTTCAAAACAGGTCAGCTACTCAAATGAACTTTGCCTATTTTCACTACAATTTTTATTCTTTATAATATTGAGAATATTACACTCATATATTTAATTTGAAAAATAAATCCAGAAAACAACAGTAACATAATCATGCAAATGAGGTAACCAATTGTCATAAACCACAATTAGAAAAGGAATTTACCAGTAATCCTAGTCACCAACTATGGTCAAAACCAGAATTATTCAGTAAACCATTAATGAAAACAAAAAAATCCTGTCTGAAACTTGTTTGCACATAACATTTAGCGTCTGCTTCCCAATAAATCCAAATTTCCTTCTATATGCAGCTTACAAACTACAAAGAAAAGAAGAACTAAATGTCCACTGCTGTATTATGCAGTGACATATTAGATCAGGTAAATGTGATGATGCATTTGACTTCACTATTCCATCCCATGAATTCCTGGACTTAACCCTGCTCTTTAGTGGTTCTGCCCTTCAAAAGGAAAGGCTAAATTATTTTATATTTAATCTTCCTTCTTTGCCTCGAGATTTTCAGACTTTTAATCTTGACTAAATGCCTTTCCTTCTGTCCATGTTAAGGAACAAAAGGCATAACAGTAACTATTAGGACCAGATAGTATAGCAATTGGGACCAGACATATACCTGAGACAGAAAGAAACTGTCTAGCAGGAATTTTCTATTTAGAATGGAATTTCACAAAAAAACCAAACAACAAAGTTAATTGTTATGAGAAAAAAGTTGTGTGGTATAAGCAACTTTCTGTCACTATAATATTTACCTAATTTTATAAAATATCCCATGGCATAGGTTTGAAGAGACTATTAAGGCAGGATTGGGGGAAAGAAGAAGAAAACCACTATTTGATAAGATACCACAAAAGCAGACATACATTGCACACTCAAAAAACCCCAAACCCTTACCTTTGGAAGCTCAGCATCTGGTTTTTTGTGTGACAGTAATTTGTAGGTGTTAAGGTTGTTTTCAAAGCTCCTAAATAAATAAGTGAATAAGATAAATAAAAGAGCAGCTCTTTCAACTAACAGTTATTTTAAAGACACAGTTGGATTTTTTGGAAACTTTAAAAAACAGGTATGTTATATTAGCAAAAAAATTATTAAAAATGTAAAACATGATAAAAACTGGAAATGAGAGAATATTGGAAAATATTCCGTTTGTAAGATAATAGTGAACAAATATGAAATGATTATATAGCTGGCAATTTAGCAGTATAGATCAGGGATAAAGAACTTTATTATCAAATTACTTCAAACAGAAAATGCCCTGTTGACATATAAGAATGCAGAATGTTTCCCTCACATTACTGTTGGAAAACTAGCAGCTACTTATGAACAAGCTGACAGGACTGGCCTCAAAATCTTGAATAAACAAACGTATGGTTGCTACCAGTCAGCTCATACAACACAGCAGCTCTTTTCTTTGTCATTAGCCTAGCATCAGTCACTAGTCTGACATAATATTGTATTAGTTTTCTTTGTTTTGCATGTTTTTACACAGAATTTCAATTATTCTACTGAAGCACCTCTTCTTCTGTCTCCTCTAGTAGTCTCAAATACATAAAAACATAGAAAAAATATTTAAAATAAAATGTCAAGTGCCAGAACATCAGAACAGCAAAGGAATCAGCTTTTCTAGAGCAAATAAATTGGTACAAGTTATCAGACATACCTTCCACGGAGTCTCACAGCCTCAACAAATCTTCCCTCATCCATTGCTTTCTGGACTTCTTGAGTCTAAAAAAAAAAAAGTTGGCTACTCAATATGTTTAAAAAACAGAGGAAGTTGATTACTTAACATATTACAGTAAATAGATAATAATAATAAAAAAAGAAATATTGACATTTCATTAATTTATGAGCTACCTCTTAATCACAGCATAAATTACAGTGGACAGGAGAAAAAAAAAGTAGAAGCAGACACCTAAAACTTTCCTGACTGTTGTGTATGACATGTAAATGGATGCAAGCATCTGAAGAATTTGGTGTAGAAAAGATCTGAGAGGAATTTTAAAAATAAATTAAAAATACATATATTTATTTTTTGTCGGTTCACAAATAAGTAATAACACATAGAAAACACACATGAAATTCATTATTCCCAAATGTGGGAAAGTGCTGCACACATTCCCACCAGTGTTTTAATGACAACAGACAATTATTGTAGACACTGCTCTGTTGTAGTTAATGAATAATGATAAATTGGCTTTCGGCCAGAAACTCACCATCTGTACACATTCCATCAACGGCAGACGGACAGCCTGGTTTCCAGACAGGGACACGACACAGGCAGGGGTAGCTGGAGTAGCTTCTAAAAGGGCAAGCACAGCTTCCACGCCCATACGACTTGCCTGAAAACAGAGAGTGATTGTGTGTTGAAGCAAGTACTTAAAAGCAAAAGGTTTCAAATCACACAAATGGTCATGATTTCTCTGTAAATCAAGATGAAGCCAAATATTCCTTGGTAGGTGAAAATGTCATAGGCTGTTTAATACCCTTAAGCATGGACAATTGTTATTGCAGCTTTGCTTTTTGATCCTAATACAGATTTCTTTACATTAAGTGCTTCACTATTCCGAATTTGAGCTATTCAGAAAGTTAATCTGAGAAAATAATTGGTTTTGTCAAGTGAATAACCACTCCACCCTCAAATAAACAATCAAAATGTAGTTGTACTACGTGATGCCATGAGTAATTATTTTTAGGTTCACTCACCAAAATTCTGTCAAAAGCTGAAGGGGTTCCACCTCTTTGCACATGACCCAAGATAGTTACTCGGGTGTCAAAGCCAAGTCGCTGAACCACAAGCTGCAAAGGATTTCAAAATATAGTGGGTTTATTTTTATCATTATTATACATGTGTTAGCATTACTCTGCTTTATGAGCTATTGGAATAATAGACTTATTTATATACTATAGATGAGTGCCTCAACAGTAATGAAGATACTATAGAAGATAAGCCAGTCTTTAGTTTATTCCTAACCTAGAACTCAACTCCCAGTTCCTAATCTAAAGGAACATTTTATTGAATAATGATGAAACACTGGCTTAGATTGCAATGTTTTCACTGTAGTTATAATGGCTTCATTATGCACAGTCCTCTGCCTTATAAAACCAAGTCTAAACATTATAATTAGAATATTTGAAAGAAGTTCAATTACAGTGTTTTATTCGCTTCATGTTTCATCTATGTGCAAGGTTACATAGCCAAAATAATTAAGTCAAACTTTGGATCACTTCTAAACTTAACTCACAAGGTTTTTAACACTTGAAAGAAAAGTAATAATTAAAAAAATAAACCCAAAGCTATTTAATTTGGTCGGTCTTTTTTTTTTCCATTTCCTATCTCCAATCTAAAGGCACCGAAAGACACGTTTTATTAATACATCTTCAGTGAGCATGTAAGATTAGGAGTAAGTACTGGATACCATAAAGAAGAAAAAAAAAAATTCAGAAGTTAATTACAAAATATTCTATGCCTGGTATTTAGAAGGATTTTTATATTTTAACTGGCTGAAATTTGTAGCAAGCAAGTTATGTTTCTTCCATAAATGCATAACAGCCATCTGCTGTATGCACACTTAAAACTGACTGGTGCTAAGTTTTATTTCATAAATCCACAATTCTGAATTAAGAGTCAAAGATCACTCTCAAACTAACAGCTATAAAAAACAAAACCTCATAGTCACAGGACAAATAAACCCCAGGTAAAGTCAAAGTGTCCATTGCTCCCTCCTGCCAATGATTATTTTTCAACTTACTTTCTTAAGAGACCCTTTGCAAAAGAAACAGAATAATTTAAGCTCACAAGTTTTTCTTAATCGTAGACAGCAACAAACTTTTTTAGCAAAGCAACCATTTAGAAAAAAAGTAATATGACTTTGTCCAAAATAGACAGTATTATTTCTCTGTGAAACAGACCATTATTAGAATTTTACAAGAAATATAAAATAAGATTATTATTATTGATGTGAGCAGATTTCAGACTCTCTATCAATTAAGGCACCCATGAAGTAGAAATGCTCTGGACCGTTGCTTTATATTACAAGGACAAAATGTTATAATTTAAAGCTAATGAAATAATTCCCCCTTAAGTGGACTATGGATTCAGATAATAAAGCACAAAAATAGAATACAACCACTAAACTGTGTGATAAGATACTGTGCAGGAACAGATTTACTTTACAGAAATGTTATTGTTAGTAACAAGCATTATCTTAAGAGCGAAACAGAAAGTACATCTTAAGGATGTGGACACTTACATCCTTAACCTTCTCTGATGTTATAGGTTTGTTGTGGCAATCAATAGCTCCTTCAGCTACAATAATAATATTCAGCCTTTTCTTTCGTGCACGATTCTATAATAGAAATAAAAGCATATCCATATAATGAAACAAACAAACAAACCAAAACCAAAAGGAATTTACAGCACAATTTTATAATTAATTGCTATGCATTAAGCTGCTAGGATTTGAGGAAATATTTCTAACACTTGATCACTCTAAGAGTTCTCATATATTTTATCTTCACAGGACTTTTCATTGATGAAATGAAATGTCTTGTATCAAATTAATGAGGAAATGTAGACACTGCTTGTATATGGATACTTTTATGTAATCCCCGGAGTAAGTCATATAATTCTTCAAAACAATTGCAGAACGCAGGAAAAGTACTGTTTAAGATCAAATAGCACTATTTGTGTCACCAGAAGCAAAGAGCTGCTGAAAATCCCAGTCAGTAAATTTTAAATCATGTTTGTCAAACAAACATCTGCAAAGACATCAAAGAATCCCAAACATAGCAATAGATTACCTCTGAAAGCTTAACACACATTGAATCTTCCCATCCTTCTTCTGGTGGATATTCAGGAATAAACACCCAATCTGCACCACAGGCTAAGGCACTAACAAGAGCTAGATACCTAGTAAATATAACAAATTATTAGATATTTATGGTTCATATTTCTTATCTTTTATAATTATATTTATACAAGACACAAATTGCTGAAGACAATACTCACCCACAGTGTCTACCCATTACCTCCAGAACAAATGTCCTCTGATGGCTGTAAAAACAAGAAAAAAAATAAATGAACTGTAATACTGGAACTCAAAATTCCAGTCCAGATTCTAAAATCAGATTCAGGTATCAGGAAAAAGCCCGTGTTTACTACACTTATCAAGCACAGAATTCCTTAGCAAAACAGCGGGCAGTATTAACCAATGTATTTAAAATTACGTATCTTCCAGTACACAATTCATATTTACTACTTCTTTCTTCTAAAAAACATAAGGGCAGTTAGGAGATAAGAGGTGAAAATATATTAGAAATGTAAATGATGCAAACCCATATTTAAGAACTGTAATGATATAGCTGTCTAAAAAAAAAACTTGAAAAAAACTAATTGCCTAAATTTTACCTACAGGAAGCTTATATGCAAACAGATGCTATTTTGTACTATTCAAGGTACATCTGGATCTTCTCTAGAAGAGTATGCAGCCAAAAAGAGCTTTTATTCCCATCCTTGAAATATTACAAAAACCAGTTACCTAACTTATATTTAAAATTAAATTATACCCTCCACTACTATATGGCAATAGGAAACTTGAGATTTAAAGAATAAACAACTGCATATTTGTTATAGTTTTCCATAGTATGTAAAAATTACCTTTGAGCAGTGGTCATGATGGCATCCACAACTTCAATGATTCTGTGCAAGGCTGAGTCAGTTCCTATGGTCATATCAGTGCCACAGAAGTCATTGTCTATGGATCCAACCATTCCCACAATGTTAAGGTAAGCATATTTCTTAACAGCCTCTCGATCAATCTTTCCTGTGAGCAAGTATCCAGAGAAAGAACCATTTATTTTTTTAAACAAAACAATAAACAATAACAAAAAAAAAAATGTAGACCAATTACTTGGGTGTTCTACTTTTATAAATTAAACATATTCAAACATTAAATTATGCTCAGATATTGTAGGTAACAAGGTTAGTCAAAACTACAAACAAAAGCAAGTCAAACAACCAACCAAAAGAATCCTGAATAGAATTCCTTACAGTAAGGAAGGAAACAAGAGCTTTTCAGTCCATTTCCAAGTGTCAACGGATTATTGTTTTGTAACCAACCTTAAATTTGGTGGTTTGGGCCTAAACAATAGCATTCAAATTATAGTTTCAGCGTAAGACATGATATGAAAAAAAAAAGGATGCAAACTGGATGTGGTTATGGGCATATGTAAACAGTCAAAAAACAGCATTAAACTTTTGAAGACTTCTGCAACACTGAAAGGCTCTGATTTCATGATTAATAAGCAAATAGAATAGAAAAGCTTAAAACTACCTCAGGATCTGTGGATGCGATGGTAGAAAATATAATGCCAAATTTTTGACATGGGATTCAAGAACTATATATCAGTGCATTTATTGTCTATATTAGAGAAAATAGTAGAAACCATAATGAAAATTATAACTAATGTCCACAAAGATAAATACAGCACTCTGAAGAATCAAAAGGTTTTCTATGAATGTATACCATGCATTACAAACCTTTTCTAGAGTTCCAAATGTGACTTAATAATCACATGAAAAGGGGATATCTAGTTGACACACTCTACAAAAAGCCATTGACAAGGTGTGTCCTCAAAGGATTTTGAGGAAACTAAGTAGCCACAGCATAAGAGAGAAGGCTTTTGCATAGATAAAATAATGTGAAATAGAGGGTAAAAAAAAAGAGTTGAGGCAGTAGTAAATGCAAGTTCTTGTATTTGAGGAGGGTAGCCAGTGGAGTTCTACAAGGATCTGCACTGTTCAACATGCTTGGCAATAACCTAGAAAAGGGAATGAGCTGTAGGGTGCCAAAGTTTACAGATCAAACTGAATTACTTGGGTTCTAAAGGTGTGGGGTGTCTGAGAAGAAATGACAGAGACTAGCAAGACACACTGAGCAGTTAAAAGTATCAGATGGAATTCATTGTAGATAAACGTAAACTAATCAACATGAAAAGTTTACCCTAACGTCAAAGACAAAATAATGCTATTTTCAGCATAATAATAAAGCTGTTTTCATTAACAAATCAGCTTCAATGCTCAATAGCAGTAAAAAAAAAATAAAATAAAAAAAAAAAATTAGAAAATATTAGAAAAAGAATAGAGAACAAAACAAAGATCATTATACTACTGTGTAGATCCATGGTTTGCCCTCATCTTGAATACTGGGTGCAGTTGTGGTCCTTCCCACCTCAAAAAGGACATGGTAGAACTGGAAAAGGTTCAGAGAAGGGCAACAAAGATGATCAAAGGTATAGAACTTACATATAAGGAACAACTAAGCAAAATAGGATTCTTCCATCTAGAAAAAGAGATTATGAAGGGAAAATAAGACAGCTGTAAAATCTCAAGTGGCATGCAGAAAGGAAGCAGGATTGATCATTCATTGTTCTAACACAAAAATTATAGGACATCAAATGAAACTAAAAGCCAGCAGGATCAAAATAAACAAAAGAAGATTGTTCATAATCTTCGTAATTCATTGAAGCTGTAGAACTCCCTGCTGTTTTCAGCAAAAATTTGTATGTGTTCAAGGACAATGTATACATTCATGGAAGAGAAATTCATTAAGGACTAACAGCATCTGGTTCAGAAGTCCTGAAGACAGAAACAGATGGACCTTAAAGTATTTATATATTATGAACAACATACAGCATCAACACAGCATTATTTAGGCTTGTTTTGTTATTTAATTTGGATGCAATCAAAGACAACTACTGGGCTGGACGCTTTTTCAGCTAGTCACTTAATGTTCTGATCTTAAGCAAATGGTGACGTATAAGCAGGAAAGAATCATAATTTAATAACCAAGTATGTTGCTTGTTGTAGGAAAAGGAACTACCATCTCAGTTTGGGTTTGAGGGCAAAGGGCTTTCAAGCAGAAGGTTCAAAGTTCAGGCCATGAACATGATTCATAATGGGGGAAAAAAGCAACACAAAAAGGTACCCAGTAACTTATTTTGCCTTTTTTAACATTCACGGCATGTAAGAGATGATGTATTGAACTAAAAAACTGTTACTTTATGAAGAACTGTGTAATTTCCTAGAATGTATGCACATTTGATTTTTTAACTTAAGAAATACCCTCTGGATACAGCTTGTGTATGTATAGTCAGGGTTCATAACTTCTCAGGAGACCGGACTAGAAGTCTAGAATGTCTAAACGCAAACTTACCTTTCTGTGCCAGTTCTTCTAGAAGTCCACTCCATTCTTCACGGAACAGATTGGCACCAGTTAAACTACCATCTCCACCAATCACACAAAGATTAGTGATTCCTCTCTGAACCAAGTTGCAGGCTGCCTGCAGACGGCCCTCCCGGGTACGAAAGGATTTGCAGCGTGCACTACCAATAACTGTACCACCCTAATAAAAAGGAAATAAAACAGTTTAAATTTTTAATTCAGCATTTTACAGTCTTTTTTTTTTTTTTAGAGATGGATTAATTATGGTTATTTTGTAGCATAAACTCCATCTTTTATTTTGTAGTGAATAAAAAACCAAACCAGCTGGAAATTCTGTTCTCAAAAGCATACAGGTACACCACGGAAAAGGAAAAAAACACTCAAAAATTACTGATAAAGAGCTACTCTTGAAGGAAAGTGTTAAATTATTTGTGATTCATTTTATTAGAATTGATATTAATTATCTAATTGTTAGTCCTATGTGATGACAATAGATACAATAGTGATACAATACTATGTAGTTAGGAACTTAGCTGAATTTGCTTCAAAGCATGACCTTTTTTTCCCCCTAATATAATGAAATACATAAACAATAACAGAAAAGATGTATCCCTAGAACTCAAAATTACCATTTATTGTCATTCCACAGAATTACGAAAAGACCTGCATCTACATTTAGTGCCTCGCAGATCAGACTAATGTCAAATTTTGTTTTATTAATTTATCTGCTATATTTATTAGTATGATTTAAAGAGCTTCCTCCAAAATGGAAGTAATTATTTTTAAAAGACTGAAGCAGCTTGTCACTGAAAAGTGCTGGGCATTTTGCTGAAAACAAGTCATTGACACCACTTCTGTGTTTGTGTTGTTTAGTCACTCAGGGAAAGCCTAAATTTTGCCTTATTTATTGTCACAGTAACAAGTAAAGTTATTAAGACTGCTTTTTTTTTTTTTTTTTCCTGAAAGCAAGTCTGGAGATTATTGCCTCACTTCTGCACAAACATTTCCTTCATTTTAACTTACATTAAATTAGTCATGACAATCTAAATTTGAGCTTCAAATCTGTAGGAGCTATACTGATATAAGCTACCCTATAAAGAGGTGTTTCAGCTCACAACAGCTGCTATTGGAAGAAAAAAAAGGTGGAATAGAAGCAGTTGCAGTTTTTCCACAGACAAAAAAGTAAGAGGCATACACATATTCTAAAAATAACAATCAGGACTAAAACCACATTGAATCTAGATATTTTCATACTTAAAAAAACATAACTGTACATGGAAAAGAGGCTGTATCTGAAGCAATGCACTACAATGTGTGCTGTTTAAACAGAAACACAGATTCGGATGACAAATCTTATCACCAAAATAACTGCACATATTCTTTAAGCTGCATCCTCAGCTTCACTGTTGATCTGCTGAATTCCTACCAATCAGGCTCAGAAAGACATTTATCTTCTAGCATATATGCTGTATATATACATATACATATATATATATACACATATATATACATCCTATACATATATATATGTATGTATAGGATGCCTATACCCTGCTCCTGCCTATTCTCTTGTGTGGCTTGGTCATAACATCTCAATTTTCTCTTAAACATAAGATACATCTGGATGATGGTCTTATAGCTATATACTAACTAAACTAAAACTAAACTATAGTTATATAGTTTGGTTTTAGATAGTCCTGTGAGAAGCAGGGAGTTGGACTCTGTGATCCTTATGGGTGCCTTCCAACTTCAGATATGATTCTATGATTAGATTCTAAAAAATAGACCGAACAAAACCAAATATGGACAAAATATCTCACAATATTCCAGGGTATTTTTTGGTTAAAAAAACAACCAACCAAAAAATCAACCAAACAAACAAAAAAAACCAAAACAAAACCACATATCTATTTTTTCTCTGCTAACTGCTTCATGTTTATTGTATTAGCTTCACAGAAAACTACAAAGAAACCCATGCTTCACCTGGAGGTAGTTTTCAGAAAGACTGGCAATCAGTAAGGCCTTTCACTAAACATAGCATCTGCTCTGGAAGAGGTAACATTACCATGCTGAGGAAGGAGATCCAAATGGCCACCTGGCAGAATATTGTAATATAAATGGACAAAGTCACTGGTATTATCTGAGCACTGGAGAACTGTACTGTAATTACAGACGTTACTATAATCCACTTATACAGGAAGTCAACAGGGTTTCATAAGAAAACGTGCCTTATGAAACAGTTGTTTAACTTTTTGCCCCTATTATATCTTCCTTACTAAATACAGGCTTGTCAATACAGCTTTAAGAGGCTAATGACATGTAGCGTTGAAAATCTAGGACAAAGGTTTCAAGTTTATTTCTGTGTACCAAATACACAGAGATCTTCAGGAAGTGTCAAAAATTCATATAGCAGACAGCAGGTTCTACTAAAAGTGGCATGTGCTGGTCACTCAGCCATCACAGAATTAGAATCCATAATTACAGTTGTTTGCCTAGATCTTGAATTTTGTTTTCCCTGTCTAAAAAGAGAACGGTTTTGGGTCCCACTCCCACCCTCTAACACTTACCACTTGCAGGATACTTGAAACACTTTCCCATGAAACTTCTACAATATTATCACCTCCATCAACCATTCCCTGGTAACCCTGAAATAGAAAAAGTATTTCAGAAGTCTGATTTGAAAAATCATATAATATTTCCACTGCAGTAATTTTCACTCTTTATATTTTAATGCTACTATAAGTAATTAAAAATGCTAAATATAAAAAAAATGTTAAATGAAGCAACATTCAAGCAGGTATCTCATTAAAGCGAAAAAACGTCAAACAAACCCTCTTCCTAAAAGATCAGTTCCAAAGACAACTTCAAGATAATGTAACACTTAGTACAGATTACACAGGTTATAAACTAGAATGGCAACGTATTTTTCCTTCCTTAGGAATAAATATTCAGTAATTTTTAAAAAAAACACAAACTACAAAGACAGAAGAACTTTGAAAAGCATTATAAAATAACAACCTCAGCCTAAAGTCATAATCTTAGGGGAAAAAAAAGTATCTTTGTAACACTTTATACAATTTTTATAGGTACAAGCAAGACAAAGAACAATCATCAAAAATTGTTCATACTGGAGGAAGAAATCATGTCACAATATTTATTCTTCTTGGAGCTTTTACACAATAAAGAAAGAAATTTAGTAGAAAAATGCAACTTTAAGTGATGCATTTAAGAAATCCTTAACACCTTAACTCATATGGTCTTCAGAAACCAATGTATGCTGTAAGATAGAAAGAACTACACTTATCTAGAAGGAAAACTATTCAGTGAGCAGCTGAAGGGTTTTACTATGCCTGGTTTTATTAACTCTTTGAATAAATACTAGCAGAAAGATACAGACAATTACAGATTCTTTTCCACTAGGTGATACTGTGAACATTAATTTTAAATATATATTTAAAGTTAGAAAAGAAACGCTTAAGCTACATACCAGCTTTAAAAAAAAATATCTTTCAGATAAAGTGACAAAGATCTTCAGACAGAAACATTGCAGTGGATCCAATTAAGCTTGATAAAAGCTAATAAATTAAACTCACTTATGGTGAATTTTCTTGCTTTTCATTTTTAAAACAAATAATCTGATGTTCCTTATGTCACTCAGCTGGGTTGAAAGCTGTTCTTATTGGTGTTCCTATTAGCAACTACAATAACACAAAGATTCATAGGCAGCAAATCTTGAAATAATAGTGTGATGCTTTAGCCTAACTCAGTTTGCAACACTGACTATAGTAAGCTATACTACAAACTGACAAAAATACATACAAAATATACATGAACTATTTGAAATTAACTGCAAAATTTGAAACACTTACAGCTAGTCTAAGGATGAGCTGCAACTAACTCCTGTACCAAGCATCTTTAAGTTTGAAAAGAACCTCATGCATTCTGGCCAAGAGTCCCCTTTGGTTCTACTTTCTCTGCATAGCCAAGTAAGCACAGAGGCTGTTTTAACAATTCCTCCCACTAAAAGGCAAAGACAGGGTGTTTTTGGAACAAGTCTGATCCATTTTAGCTATTACATTAGCTTTTCTAACTCAGTTCTTCTTGTCAAGTAGTGCATGCAAACTAGCTCTGAACAATGTGGCTAGAATTTCCACACTGTTCTTCCATACCATAAAGAGATCCAAAAGTCATACAATTGAAACATCTTTCTAGAAAACCCTATAGGGAAAAAGAGATGACCACTTATAAATGAATTAGTAATAATGATCACAAATTCAATTTCTCATTTTAGTTATTTGAACATTGACACTAGCTTGGGAACTGGGCAATCTGTTTTAAGGATAGTATTAAACTTCTAATATTTTATAAAATAATTTTAACACTTGTAACTGTGTGGTTACTGAAAACTTCTAGAAGATCTGAATACAGACCTTAATAAAGAGGGTGAGAACCTATTAATTTATATTAAAGAAATAAAAAATTTTACTTAGATTCTAAAAATTTAGTACTAAGATACTAAAACTATGGGGCAAGAATGGAAAAAAGTAAGATGTCCAAAATACAGCAAGCACTGTACTTGCAGATCAACCCCATTTTATGCTTATTCCTTCCTCTACTCAAAATCTGAATAGTCAAAGACTAACAAGAGGAAATATCTGTGGGTCCTATGTTCACAGGTACATACATATACACTGTAACTGTGTACTAGCATCAGTGAGTGCACAAACCACCACATAAATGACATGAAGTTTTCCTCACAGAAATCCATTACTGCCATACCATTGCATTTCCAATGCTGGCCTCTCGAGAAAAAGACTCTTAATCAAGATGAATCTAAAAGTTCCATAGCTTAGTAGTAAGAGCACGCATCCACTGGTAACTATGTGCTTCAATCCTGGAAAAAGGGCAGGTTATTTTCATTTTATTATATTTAAGACCTCAGTTTCTAAAATGAACTCTCATAAATGAGACGCATCACTTTTTCTTCCCATTTGCAATTTTTTTTTAAAAACAAACAGTGCAAAACCAACTTAATTCACTTTTGATTAGGGAAAATATAAACTAGCCTCCTAGAGCAGCCTGGTTCTTCTACATGTACTTTCTTCCAAGCATGGTAAAGTAAGTCCACAAGTATTCAAATTTAAATTCATATTGGGATAGACTTGAGAAATAATGTGATGCAAGTCAGTGAGGGTGAGTAAAGACTGTTTATAGATAAAAATTAAATAACAAAAAAAAATGTTTATGTGAAGAAAATATGAAACTGGGGCAACTGTATAGGAAAATACAATTATTGTTTTACTTAGAATATTAAGCTAGTTTTGGCCACAACTGTAGAAGACAGATGGTTTTACAGTGCAAAAATAGTTCTTATGACAGAGAAAGTTACAAGAGAAAAAGAGCATATGACAACTACAGCAAAATGTTATTTAGAAGGCTGAGACCTTGAAGTCCATTTTCAGCTCCAATTAAAAAAACATTTTTCACTTTTTGTATGATGCCATTCCATCCTTTTTCTTCATTTTTTCAGAGTAGCTTCAATACAAATACCACTTTACCCTAACATATGTGTGTCTAGTTAAAATGCCTACTCAAAATGTAGGCTAAAAAATTACTATTTTCATTGCTTGATATACTGAAATCTGCATTTGATAAACTGTAATTCATAATGACTTGATAAAAGTATTACATAAAATAGTCTGTTTATATATTATATATATATACCTCCTCTGTATAGATCATGGAAAGGCTTATAAAAGAAATCATTAGAGACAAGTCTTACGCTAAGATTTTTACTTTCCACTACACTTGTCACCTGCATCTGTTTCCTGTTTCAAAGTACTGAAGTTAAACAGTTGTCTCATTTGAAAGCTTACAATAGTATTTCTCTGAAGTACTACTCATAGTGAAAGAAAACTGACTTCAAGTTTTAATTAACACTGAGTCAGAAAGGAAGAGAGCTTTACATTCACTACCTCTTGAAACACAGAACTGAATTGACTAATCTAGCAACAAAATCTTTTTCACAGCTATTACGCATACTTTACAGTTAATTTTTTCTCCAAGACTACACTGTTTCAATGAAGACAGTCTGACAATATATAATGGAAACTCAAATCTCCAACACTGACTTGATTCTTATGATCGATTTCATTCAGAAATATCTGTGACTTCACATTTGCAAACTCTAGCAATTAACAGAGAAGCATAACTTAAATAGCACAATTTTGCTAAGTTCAGAAAAACAGAAATACCTAAATTTCTCTGGAACTTTATAATTCAATACCTTCTGTGATAAAACACAGTATGTAAAATATCTCAGAAGTAAACATACTGTAAGATGAACTACAAAGATGGTAATTTTTAAGTTAAACATAGTTTTTAAATAAATAGATAAAATCCAAGTTTTTGCCTTTCAAGAAAGACAAAGAAAAAAACCTCCTTATTTCCACAAAAGTACCTGACCCATTTCAGCAAGCCTGCAAAACAGCTGAGCACTGAAGGAATTCTAGATACTGGCCATGTAATTAGCACACACTAAGTATTCACAGCTACTTGCTGTAGCACTGCAGTACAAAAGAATTTTGAAGCACACTGCTCTCCTTATTTGCATTTCAATATACTTCACATCTCCTTAGTAAATTAACTACAGGAATAAGCAGACAGAAAGAAAATAAGTTTCGTTTGCATGCACAAAACTAAAACTATAGTACTTCCCTAGCAAATCTATGAATTCTAGTACTCTGTACTTTAATATTAAATATTAAAATTACATTGCCTATGAAGTTCTGTCCCTTATCAAATGTTTATTCTTATTTGTAATCACCTCAGCCTTTGAAGGAGTTGTACAGTAAGACATGCAAGTATAGCATTATTTTGGCATTTACATTAAACTTGTCTCATCGTTTTTTAGCAAATACTTGTTACAGGAGTTATCAATCTTTATGCACATGTAGTTACAAGCTTCAACCATAAAATTCTGGCGTCTGAACACACTACTGATGGCACAAGTTTTTTGGTGGAGTTTTTTTCAGTTACAGTTTGCTACCTATAAACCAGGAAAGAAGACACCAGGTTGACAGAACTCTTGATCAAAAACAAGTTGTGTAATCTGTGAAATGAGTGATGGCACATCCTTAACTGAAAGTCAAAGGGCTAAGAATTAGTAGTTTTACTAGGTTTAGGAATGTATTTCAAAAGTACAATATTTGAGGCCAGACATCCAACACAAAACACATAGCTCACTGCTAAGTGACAACCATCTCTAGTTTTCTTCATATTTTCAAGCTTCTGGTGGCACACAAATTCTGTATATTAAAAATAAAACTTTTAAATTAAATAGTTTTATCATATACCTTGTAAAAAGTATTTTCCACAAAAATAAATAAATAAATAAAATGTTGATTTAAAGGGAATTACATTTATAACAATTTTTTATTTATACAATTCACTCTCCATAAGGTTTCCACAAAAACTCAAGGATTGTCAGAAGACAAATACAGAATTAATAAAACAAAAACTAACCTCATAAATAAAATACACTTTGGCTTTTACATAGATTCCCATGCGTACTACTGCGCGCACAGCAGCGTTCATACCTAAGAAAGAACAAAATCACATTGTTATAAGTTATCCAATACTTTTCATATAGTATTATCACAATTATCAGCATCTATTAAAACAGAAATTTGCTTAATGACAGTGCCATCAATCCATGAATATGCAGAGTGCAGAACTATTTGCTTTGCTATAATAATTATGTGGATGCCAGCATGTACATTAATCAGAGATTAAATTGTTGCTGATTGTAAAACAGCATTGTAAAAGTAACAGGTAGTGAACCAGAAACAGAAAGTAAATTCATTTCATGATAATGATTATTTTCTATCTGAAATGCAAAACAAGCAGCCAGTTAAAAATCATCTTCTTAAAAGGAGAATGTATATTATAACAGTTCTATTTCCTGAGCTTTCCACAGTAACACAGGTATATGCACTGTATTTTGTGGGGAGCACAGCCAAAGCCTTGGACAAGAAAAGGTTCCTACTTAAAAAAATAAAGGTAGGAGTAAATTAACATAAGACATGCTGCATGGAATCATTTGACAGAAGTGTGCCTAATTATCACTTTGCTTCCTGGAATTGCAAGCTCATATTGGAACTCCCGGCTCAAACACATCTGACAAATTACACTAGTGTAAAACCTTCCATTTAAGTCCTGTGGCCAAACACTTAACCTCCCAAGCAACCAGGGAAGTTCCCCTGGTCCCCTACATGGGTCAAAAGAATTTCTTTTATAACCCATCCCTTCAGATACTGTGCTACTTTACTCCCTTAGTCATTATTCAGTAAACTCCCAAAAGTAATAAACTGATTGATTCCATACCACTTAGACACAAGAGATTATGCAAAAGCACAAGGACAGAAGAAGTTATAGACTAGACTGAAAGAAACAGCCTTGGCACAGCATCTGAAAAGGAATGCCAGAAACCTCACAATCCAAAATACTGGGCAAAGTGATCCTGCAAATCTGTTGCATTGATATCAAAATAGCAAAGTAGTAATTCAGGCCTACTGTTTCATATACAGATTAGGTGTTCTTCTATCTGGAGATGTAAATAGTAAGTTGAATATATAAACCCAAAATACAGTATTCCATAAAGATCTGTTCCTATATTATTCACCATTATTGGAAAAAATACTGAGCTATAAAAGCTCACCATCTGAATAAAGAATGACTGAGATTTTTGCAAAGATTCATTACCTAGGAATATACCAGAAACTCCCTGCAAGAGCCCAATGTGAAACAAAACTTGTCTGTCAAAATCAAAAGTTACTTTGTTGCTTGCGTAGCTGTTACTTAGCCATAAGATTAAAATAACGAGTAACAGTGTTTTCCACATTAATTCTGTATTAGGAAATAACAAGAATTCTCTCAGCCAGAGTGAGCCTGGTTGCAGAGCTGGAAAAAGTCCTCAAATGCCAAGTCAGCTAAAAGCACAGCTTTGGACGATGCACAGGATGATGCCAAAGAAAAGCAGAGAATCTCACACACAGGATGCATTGAAAAGAAAGTCATCATGCCAAGTCTCAGATCTCAACAGATCTACTGCACAGAGCAGTTATCACCTCAGGAAAAATAAGAACACCCCAGCCACTCACTCACTCACTCACTGGCAATGTCCCCTACAAAGTAGAGACAAAGACCAACGACTTTATAAAACCAACAGGTCTTCACAACACTGTCATTTTCCTCAAACAGGGAAGACATAAGCACAAGCTACTCCTTTCATCAAAGCCCACAGCTTGACTCTATTAATGCTCAGCACGTTGTGTGGGAGATTCAGGGTTTTTTTTGTTGGTGGTTGGTAGGGAGGGGTTTTGGTAGCTTGAGGCTGAGGCTTTTGGGGGGGGGCTGTTATTGGTTGTTTGGGTTCGCTTGTGGACAGGTGTTTTTTTTAAAGAGAATAAGAAGTTTTTTGTATTATCCCTTTGGCTACAGATTCTAGAAGAGTGGTTAAAAGGTTTCTGAAGGGAAAGTTCATACTCATGGGATGAGAACTACTCGAACTGCTCTTTTAAGAACATTCTGGTTTTGACATTCAATTTTGTCACCCCTCATCACCTGAGAAGGACTGTTTCAGCTGTCTATGTTCAGTTATAGACTTTTGTGTCTGTTTCAGCAGTAGTCTCTGCATTCCAAGTATCAAATTAGAATAATTTTTTAAAGTATGTGAACCTAAAGCAGAACAACTTTGTCAGAGAGAAAAAAAAACCAACAAAAACACAAAGACATAAAATACATTTATATGTTCACCAAAGATATGTGCTTGCCTTTTTTCTGTTTCTTGCTTACATTTCTGCTTTACTGGTCATGCATCCATGTTTTTCATTTTTACCACAAACCTGTTAATCAATGCATCTTTAAAAAGGGCATCAACTGTTCTCATTACAAGTTGTCCAGATCTGCCATACGTTTGTAATTTATAAATTAGCCTACAAATGTTATTTTGGCTTAATGTTCATACTACTTTGAAAACGGAGTAAAATATAAGCGTTATTTCTCCAAATGATAAATGATTAGTCACATGTGAATATAATAATAAATAATAATAATCACTAATAATAAAGCCACATATTCTCCCAGTCAACTTCTCAGTTTCAATGTCTTACATGAAAAGTTGGCAAATTCAATAATTTATCTGCTGCAAGAAAGGGAAAAAGCCCAGGAAAAAAAACAACAACAACAAAAAATTACAGGCAGAAATCCTCTTCTCAGTACCACCACTTTAACAGATTATGAATTGTACATTTTAGTTTTATTTGGCTCTATATATTTAATCTTTTTATACTGAAAAAGGACTTCAGTGTTTATTGGTGAGCTCCTAAAGAAGTGGTTTGTATTTCAGAAGGGCTGAGGACTAAGCTATAATTTGATATTTACAAAATACAGTTAAAATTCTGAAGCTTTATACTTTCACCTGTTGGCTACCTAAATCTGAATACCCTGCTTGCTGTGATTCAAGTATGTTAAGAGAATTTAATGAAGTCTCTGTAGAACTTGTCTAACAAAATGTGGCTGTATTTGGTTATTTGTGGAGTCTTAAAATAGTATTTGTGAATTACCATAACTATGAAATGAAATTACATGCTTATTACTGAAAAAGAGATTTACCGGGTTAACCATGGATTTAGCCCTGAATAATAAATATAGTCCCATAATATACAGGATTAGAATACCAGCTTGAGAAGAAAGGTACAAGTAAAACCAGTATTTTTATAATATAAGACTTATATTAAAATCTTTCTGAATTTCTACTTGCTTTTGCATTAAAGCCTTTGATAGAAGAAAAGGTATATTTTGCTCTTTTGGACTCAGCAAAGGTTAGGTAATCTGCAACTACTCACATGGCTTTACATAATGCCTGAAATTAATTAAAGAGTTGATAATTTACTGTCCTTCATATTGTCTACTCAATTGTCTTTGAATGCAATAATTTTCACAGCAGAGTTACAGACAGCACTGCAGAAACCTTTAAGTTATTTGAAAGGCACCCCCCTAAAAGAGCATTTCTCTCATACATAAATCCTGTTCCACATGCATATGCACCACTACAGCCCAAAGGAGTCTGAGTAAAATTAAAACACTATTTAGTGTTTCAGCCAAGTTTTCCTTACGTTACTCAGCTTGACAGGCCTTTAAATAAGTAAGTGTAATACTAACCATAGAAAAATCAAAACTATGCATCTTGGACAAGCATCAAGAAATATTTAAATACCACCAATTTAAAAATATAAACACTAGATTTAATGCATGCTTAATGACTTTGCATATATGCTTAAGTGCTACCCTCAATAAAGATCCAGACTTAAAACACTATATAGCAAAACACAGAAACTAAGGAAAATATCTGAAAATAACCAAATAGGAAAACATTATTCAAGCATGTAAATGGAAATATCTGTAACGATGTAAGAGCCTGTAATCATCAAGAAGAAAGATGAGAAGAAGCAGCTAAATACAACAACTGAACAAAACATTAAAGACACAATTTGGGTTTGTTCCATTTACTTTTAATTATGTAACACAATTGTTTTTATATAATCACAATGCTTCTAGGTACCTGAAGAAAATACTATACATTTTTTCATAACAGTAATACTGTATTAAATCAGAACATTCTAGTGCACAAATATATACAATGGTGTAACACCTAGTCTACATACATATCTTCTTCAAAATTAAAAAACATCTTGAGACTACCTTCAGTCATAGAATCCACTAGTTATAGAAGCAGCTCCTCCAAAATACAAAATGTATTTAGTTACACTCATCCATTAATAATTACATTCCTTAATTTTACATAAAAAATATAATATTCTATATATGGAACACAAATATATATATATGTACTTTGTATACATGTTTATACACACCCTATTATTTGCTGGGAAAAGCGTCTTTTTCAGGGACTAGAATCCAAAAATTCCTTGTGACTGTCTTCCGTTTACATAAGTGTTAATAAAAAACCTCTGTAACTTGGACAGCATAAAAGGAGTGTGGGTTGTTTGGGTTTTTTTCATTGTTGGCTTTTTTTGCTTAAAAATAATAATAAATTATTTAATTTGTTCAGTAGCAAAACTTCTTTTTGCATTATATGCCACCAGGACAAAATCAGTACATCTGCACCACCATATTAAATGTCTTGTGATATTCCTCAGAAGCCTGTAATGCTTCAAGAGTAGAAATACATAGATCTTTGCTTCCACAGTCTTGATTTGTATTATTCCAGAGCTCTGGAATCCAAGAGGCTATAAGGCTTCTTTTTAGGTATTTCTAAGCTCAATACTTGCCAAAGGAGTGGAGTTTTTTCTTTTGTTCAGTGCCAAAATTTCTTCTTCCAATGTAAATTACCAAGACTATTGCAGTACATCTGCACTACTCAATTAAATATCCCTTGAAATATTGGGATACCTGTAATGCTTCAAATGTAGAGATGTGTAGAGCTTTACTTCAATGGTCATGCTCTATGATATTTCAGACCACTACCATGTAATCCCTAAGTCCCTTACTATGCTGTCTTCCACAACACAAAGATAAATCTTTCCGTTTATCTCAAAAATGATGTGGTCACATTTAAAGACAATCTTGGGCAACAGCTCAAAGTAGCCACAAACACATCATTCCCCAACAGTACACAACTGCCTTCTATCAGAAGCCTTCAGATAATATTGCTCCTTCTGTTAAAGGACCATACCTATCATGGTCCTAGAATAAGCCATCTGATTGGAGGTTATATGACCATAAGCGAGCTACAGTGGCCAAAATTCTCTGTGGTAGCCACTGGCAGGCAGCATAAAATACAACCACTGTTCTTCATGCCCTGAAGCAGACCACAACCAGAGAGTCCCACAAAGTTAAGCACAACTTAAAACCCATTTATTAGTTAACCTTTCTGAGCTGCAACAATTACAATTTAGAAATAGACCAGAATCAGAACTAATGCTTACAATTTTGAGACTTTTGCCTCTAAAGGTACCTGTGATTATGACGGAAGTACCTGCTTTAGTTCACAATATAAGCTCTGGCTAGTTAAAGTGATGTACTACCAAGTTTAGTGCTTACATACCTTAAGTGTACAAAATACAAATCTTTTTCCTGTGAAATACATTACTGATAAACTGTTAAACTCCACCAAACAAAAGAATACATCTGTGTTGAAAATATGGTGACTAAACCATAATAGTTTCAGTATGACATATACATATTCTATAGTCTTTAGTATTCCACAGGTAGTAAAAGAACAAAAAACCCTTGCAAGGAAATACCACAAATGTGGGGAAGTAATTTAAACCATAACACGTCCTATAAATACAAAGGCTTGTATAATTTATATAATGCTACTTTAAATTATTAAAAAGTACAAGTAAAGGCAACAACTTTATTTTAAAATAATTTCAAACTTTTTTTTTTTTTTTTTTTTTAATGGGCTATGATTTACAGCCCAATTTAAACGAAGGCATTTACTGATATGAAGATCAGGAGTTTACTACAACCTTAATGGGTGGTCTTTCCACTCAATTTCCCTATATCAGTTTGTAGTTTTGCCTCACCCACAGTTTGCTTGAACATGTATTTTCAAACAGCTCTGCAGAAATAGCAGCACATTTCCTTCTGTGTGTACTTCCCAACTTCAATTGTCTTTGTACATTTGCACTACAGAGAGCAAGTGACCTTGACAGGGCATGACTCATTCTGTCCCTTGTTTAACTCCTAACCTAGCAGGCAAATAGACTTGAGGTTGCATATTTTACACATCTATATTGTTATCAAGACATTAAGGGTTATGAACCTCAACTGTGTTGTGTGATTCAGCTGAAATGATCAAGTTCTCAGACGTGTTTTTTGTCGTCCCCTCTTTCTTCCAAGTTAGGACAGCAACACTGCCGACAAAACTACTTGGAAGACATCCAGTTCACTTTGTTTGGTCTTTGTGACAACTTCACTCCTCAGACAGCAACTTTCACAGGCTGTTACTTTTTATCCCTCTCTGTTGCAGTTGCAATGTGTCGGATAATAGAATCTAGATGTTACCAACGGATTCTGCAAGTCCTTTAAAGATTTTAATTCACATAGCAGCAAGTGGAGATTAATGTTTTATAAAAAGAGGTACATCTGCTGCTGCATTATATAATCCCCAGCCTCGCGGAAGCAAGCAGCAGGGCTCAGCCCCTTGCTGAACACACTGCTGCTTGAGGCAATGCCCTGTCACACTTTAAAATGGCGATTTGGCGACCAGGCAAACATTAAAACAGAGATGCCGGGATTCACAGTCCCTCCTAGAATAATTTTACTGTGGAACTGACACTGAGACCAAACTGTGGATAAAACTTGAACGACTGTAAACCCACCGAGGATCAAAGGGAAGCCATGTAAGGGCATCAATTTGCTTTTTTTTTCTCCGGAACGGCAACGTTTTCCTCACCTATTGGTACCAAATCCCTTCCACCCCTTATTAGAAAGAGTTTCAGACAATTCCAGGTAAACCCGGGGGCTCCCCGTTACTCCTGCAGGCGTACGGAGGGAAGAAGGGAGGGAGGATGCTTCTCCCAGCCCCGATGACGCAAAGAGGCGGAATCTGCAGCGACTCGCAGCGGATCACGTACACACCGGGGGTGGGGAGGGCGCGGAAGACACCGGTCCACGCAAACCACCGCCTGATGGACGCGCCGGGAAGGCGAGCCCCGGAGCGGGGGAAGAGGCTGCTGCTGGCGGCCGCTCGTACCCGCGGAAACCGGGCAGGATGCACCGGCCGCGGATGCGAGATGATCCCCTCAAGTCCCCACGTAAAAAGCTGGGGCAAGCAGTCATTAAACTACCCAACCCACCCAAGAAAGACAAGAGACATTCCCTTCCCCCCTTTTCACTTCACAAACGCGAGTAAGAGGGTCGTTTCTTCTTTAAGTGAAAGTACTTTTGACACACTCCCGGCAAAACATTTTAAAATTCCTAATTTAAGGGAAGGAGCCAAAAGAGGTCATCACTTAGCAAATCTCCTGGCAAACGCAAAGAAAGAATCCTCTCAAATACCATGAAATATTCTGTATTTGACGTCTTACTTAACTGAAACTTTCAGCTATAAATATATTAAATGTTTCTGGTGGAAAAGCGGAAATGAAAGCGTAGGAACACATGCGTAAACGACTAAGTACACTGTGATCAAGTCTCTTTTCTTTTCCTTCCCTCTTTACGTCTATAGGTCTTTTGTTCGCCCCATTCTATAGGTCCGACTGCCTCTACACTCAGGAGATTCAAGGAGGTGAAACACGTTTCCAACATCCTCCTGCGGGGCTAGAGTAAACTACCACGTGAGCTTTCTAAATCATGGGCAAACAGACTTGTGCTTGGTGCCAAAACGAAGTGAAAAGCAGAGGAGGCGAGGGCTGGCAGAAGCCCAGCAGCGCAGCCTCCCACCCTCCGTGCAAGGCAGCACGACCTCCTCCCCGCCTCACAGCAGCCACTTGCTCTCCCTCCACACTCCCCCCGCCCCACCATCTCACGAGGGCTGAAGACATTTTGGTGGTAAAAGTTACTGGAGCCTTTCTACCCACTTCCCTGCCAAGACAGGCTCAGACGAAACGTGATGAGAAAGGGAGGGAAGGGGAAGGATGAGGGTATGTTTGCAGCTCAGACGTCCAGGCCGCGTAGAAGTCTTTTAAATTATTATCGCAAGATAGATAGGTCGGAAGCCAGCACGGAAAGAGAACCAAGCAATCTCGTGTGCCCCACTCTCGGACTGCCTTTTCTCTCCACTACCTCCATGTGCCTCCCCGGCGCGGCTTCCCGCAGCCAGCCCAGAGGCAGCCCACGCTTCCTACTCCTTACTCACAGGCGCTGCTACACCCACCGGCGCCTTCCCCAGCCTCCTCATGGGCGCCCTGCCTGCCGGGGAAGCCCTTTTCCCTCCTGGCCCCCTCACACCATCCCCCAGAGGGGACTCCTCACCCTCCCTTTCCGCTGTCCCCATTCCCCACCGGGGCTGCAGTCCCCCCCGACCAGTCCTTCATCTCCTGCATCTCCTTCCCTTTCCTCCTTCCCTCGCTACCGGAGTGAGCAGCTACCTTGGGCATCGCCGCCGCTGGTCAGCACCGCGATGGCCTTCCCGGTGCCGGAGAGATTCTCGAAGAACTTGGGCTGGTGATCCATGGCGCTGCGGGGGCGGCACCGGCGGGAGAGGCGAGCGAGGTTGCTGAGGAAGCCCCCGGCCGCGGGGCTCTGCTCCGCCGCCCGAGCTGCTCGCTCCGCCGGACCGAGGATTTGGCCCCTGCAGAAAGAGAACCCGAAAAAAAAAAGAACAAAAAAGAACCGGTGTGGATGTGTATTTACAGACTGGTGTATTTCTACAGAAAAAAATAAACGAGGGGACGGGGCGGCTGCGTGAAAAAGCTTGGGAAATAAAAAAGAAAAAAAGAAAAAAGAAAAGAAAAACACAGAGGTGATGAGAGAGCAGAGAAGAGCTGCACTCTCACATCGCAGCC